ATATATGTTTTTCACATCAAATAATAGTTGCTTGTTCAAAAACAAGTCTTTCCAGAAACGTTGATTATTTTTCCCTTTTGTCCATATTTACTCGTATTTTTCTTGACATCTTCAAATGTATACGATTTTGCTTCAAAATGCGATGGGGCGCGAAATACAGGTTATCAACATCAAATAATGGTTCCGTGTTTGAAAACAAGTCTTTCCGGAGACGTTGATTATTTTTTTCCCTTTTGTCCCTATTTACTCGTATTTTCCTTGACTTCTCTAATGTATACGATTTTGCTTCAAAATGCGATGGGGCGCGAAATATATGTTATCCACATCAAATAATGGTTCCATGTTTGAAAACAAGTCTTTCCGGAGAGGTTGATTATTTTTTCCCATTTGTCCCTATTTACTCGTATTTTCCTTGACTTCTTTAATATATACGATTTTGCTTCAAAATGTAATGGGGCGCGAAATTTGTGTTATCCACATCAAATAATGGTTCCGTGTTAGAAAACAGGTCTTTTTGGAGACGTTGATTATTTTTTTTTCCTTTGGTCACTATTTACTCGTATTTTCCATGACTTCTTTAAATGTATACAAATTTGCTTGAAAACGCGATGAGGCACGAAATATATGTTATCCACATCAAATAAGGGTGTCGTGTTCGAAAATAAGTCTTTCCGGAGACGTAAATTATTTTTCCCTTTTGTCCCTATTTACTCGTATTTTCCTTGACTTCTTCAAACGTATACGATTTGGCTTCAAAACGCGATGAGGCATGAAATATATGTTTTCCACATCAAATAATGATGCCGTGTTCGAAAACAAGTCTTTCTGGAGACGTTGATTATTTTTTTTCCCTTTTATCCCTGTTTACTCGTATTTTCCTTGACTTCTTTAAATGTATACGATTTTGATTCAAAACGCGATGGGGCACAAAATATATGTTATCCACATCAAATAATGGTTTCGTGTTCAAAAACAAGTTTTTCCAGAGACGTTGATTACTTTTTCCCTTTTGTCCCTATTTACTCGTATTTTTCTTGACTTCTTCAAATGTAAACGATTTTGCTTCAAAACACGAAGGCGCGAAATATAGGTTATCCACATCAAATAATGGTTCCGTGTTTGAAAACAAGTCTTTCCGGAGACGTTGATTAGATTTTCCCTTTTGTCCCTATTTACTCGTATTTTCCTTGACTTCTTTAATGTATACGATTTTGCTTCAAAACGCGATGGGGTGCGAAATATATGTTATCCACATAAAATAATGGTTCCGTGTTTGAAAAC